TTGATGATTTTTTTGTATCATCGTATAATTTTAAATTTGTTTTATTCCTCAATTTGATATGCATCATTTTGCTGTTGCGTCATTTTAGATGTCTCCGTAATTGGAGACTTATTAATCATCATCATCATCATTGTCATCGTCATCATCATTGTCATCATCGTCATCATCATCAATCATCATCATCATCAAAAGTTGTCGGAAATCTCCGAGAAAGAAATTTTTTCAAGCGTCAAAATAAATATAAATTTTGTTTTTAATTTTAATTTCGAGTGTTTCAATTTTGAGATGGTAACAACATTTGCTTGGCATGTATTGTTTGAATGGCGCCCTTCCTCTGAATGCAATCAGTTGTTCGTCGGTGGTTACATGAGAACGCACAGCATACGATTTTTTACAATTGAATGATTTCCAAAATTCGCGGAATGGAGAAACGCCAAGCATAAAGAGATAACGCCAATGACTCCTTTGAACTTTTCAACATCTAAAGTTTTCCAGGCATTCGCATTTTTACTTTTGGATTTTATTTGTAAACGACCTAACTGGTTGGTATGTGAATGTGTACATGCAATCACCAAAGAAGCATCCAACGCATCTACTTCGTCTTCAATAATTTTTCCAGCTCCGATCGACCTTCCTTGTTATGCCTATTGCTTGCGGCTCTCACTCAAGAGGTTGGAAGAGGATTTGCTTCCCATATTATACTACCATCCTTTCTGATATATGATGCAGGAACTTTTTGTTTATTTCCTGGTTGCGGAAGCTGTTTTTTTGCCTGCTCTTCATCCTCACTGTCACTAGACTTTGATGATCCTGTTTCACATTCTTCCAAACTAATACTGGCAATTTTTAATAGAGTTGACAAACATTTAATTACTTGCTAAATTTTAAATTAATTATTAGTTAACATTTGTTTTTAAAAAAATCTGTATGCCAAAATTAGAAAACACTGCTTTCAGTTCGTATTAACGTACATAGATAAGCATTCAACATCATAGGGAAATATACTGCCAAAAGATATTTTACAACATAGTCCAAAAGTCATTATAAAAGAGTGACACACATGAGAACGCTGCGAGATGGAAAGTTGACATTTTAGTTGTTTCTATTTTTTTTCTTTTGATACTTCTTAGTGCAAAAATGATCGATCGAGCTAGGGACAGCTGAGATTGTACGTACATCAGACCGGCTAATAAACTGACCACTTCAAAATATCATATCATACACGTTGTCATAATCATGCGTATATATATAATAAATATAAATACATATGTAAGTGCGTGCGTGTGTGTGTGTATGCGAGTGTGTGTGTATTAATATAAAGCAATACTAATTGCTTGGTATTCATCCACATTATAGGGAATCTAATAATGCTACTTTTTAATGGATGAAGTAACAAAAGCAAGCTTCGCTGAAATAAATGTCTCAATCTTATTACTAGTTTAAGCACACTCGTACGTCACACAGTCACACGCACGCACACACATATAAACACGCATTGATACACATACAAACACATACAAACACATACAAACACATACAAACACATACAAACACATACGCATACATGCAATACATATCCACGCATAATCACGTACACACGCAAGCTTGAATTTAAATTTGGGTTTGAAGGAGCGTGTTCATTTATCACATACACATTTATACACACACATGTACACATCAGCATATGCTCATGCATGTACACACACACACACACACACACACACACACACACACACACGTACGCACACGTTCATACAATGTATATTCAAACACACAACAATTTAAAAATTTAATCACAAACAAGGTGGGAGAAGCAGAAAACAATCACTTGACTGCAAACATTTTTACATTTAAACTTTTAGCTTCTTTAATAAAAACATTTACGCGATGGATTGCTTCTAACTGATTGATTGGAACAATACGTAAACATTGTTTTTTGAAAAACGAAACCTGGAACAATAAGTAAACTATGTTTCTTGAAAAACAAAACCAGACGTCATTTTTGTTGATAAGCAGAGAAGGGATTGCTATGGTGACCATTACAAATGGTTGAGATGACTAATACAAACTGTTAAGATGACCAATTAAATTTTTGAGACGACCAATACAAATTGTTGAAACAACTGTCAAGCTTGGTTACAACGTAAACTAATATTTTTATGATATATACATACTTAACTACAAAGTGAAATCAATCAACCATTAAAAGGCACCCATACTAATTTTCAAGCAGGTGCCATAAATGACGATCATAATTAAACATGTTCTTCTTCGTTCAAATGTTAGTTCCTAGGAACTCGCTTGTACATACATACGCGTGTAAATGTATGTTAAACGTCAAAAAATATTTCTATTGCTCTGAAGTTGAGTAAGTTAAAGTGGCGCTGAGTACATCACGTCGCGGAGCTGCAGAGTACAACGTAGTAAAGTGCTGAAGTGACATGAGTGAAACTGTCGCCCCAATCCTGACCACATCAAATGCAATTCGTTACGTTGTCAATTCTGCATCCACGACTGCGCTTTAAAAAGCACTTAGTGCTGCTAATTTCATCTGTTCAATTGCCACCAAATTTGTTTCTTTTCTAAAATTAAAAATGTTTGCATGTACTTATATTTTTGAGCAAGTACTCTTGTACTCACTGCACCCATGCACTCCTCCAAGTACTCATAAACTGCTCTAAGTGCTCATGCACTCCTTCAAGTACTCATGTACTTACGTATCCATGTGTGGCAAGTACACGTGTACCTACTCAGTATGTACTCCAACTTGTAATTCATGTCACATTTAGCTGTCGTAAGCTATATCATCATACTTTTTTCTACCAGAACTAAGAATGGTTTCGACAAGTTATCAAGTTTAATTAATTATTTTCACCCGACAACAAAGGCCATCATCACTTCTTTCCACCATAGTTATCACCATCTTCAGTGAACCAACTTTACCTCTCGTCCTTCATATTTGCATCATCAGTCGAGTTATGACGGCCTGCTAACAACTCATCTCTCTAAACGAGCATCACCATTGTCATAATCATCTTGTCTTTCACCATCATTATTCTCACCACCACCATCATCATTATTATCACGATCATCATTCTTATCATCACCACCCACCACCATCATCACCATTCTATCATCACCATTATCTTCACTTTATCACTGGTATTGTTTCACCATCATCATCATTATCACCACCATCACCATTTTATCACTGGCATTACTGATAACATGATGTCATCATTACCATCATCATCATTGTCAACAACGTTATTTTTTTTATTGTCGTTTTAATCGGCGTGACGTCGTCTCACCAGCGATGACGTCATCAACAATATTATCATTAGAAACAACGTGGCCACAAATTAATCACATTTCGACAAGATGTAAGAATTCGTCAGGGGCCAATTTGTTAGGTTGGATTGACGTTTTGAAATTTTTTATCACCACCTTCCATTTCCTACTGCCGATTTTCATTTCCATCCCATCATTTCATCATCATCATCATCATTATCGTCATCATCGTCATCATCACCATCATCATCATCATCATCATCATCGTCATCATCACCATCATCATCATCTTCACCATCATCGTCATCATCATCATCATCTTCATCATCATCATCATCTTCATCATCATCATCTTCTTCTTCATCTTCATCATCATTATCACCACCACCATCATCATCAGCATCATCATCATCACCATTCTTTTTCCTCGTCGTAATCATCGTCGTCATCATCATCACCAAAGTTCTTGATTTTATTTTTCTACCATCTTCATGATTATCCTCTTCTCTATTATTATCCGATCACTCATCATCATCATTGTCATCATCACCATCATCAGCAGCAGCAGCACGTCATCGTTACCCAACAAAATTATTCTTCTACCTTTGTTTGTTTGTTCGTTCATTTGTTTTGTTTGTTCATTTGTTTGTTTGTTTAATTGTCTTTTGTTTTTTTCTGTCTGTCTGTTCATTTGTTAACAGCTCATTCACCTTTTGCCTGTTCGGATGTTGGTGCCAGTTCGAGATGTTTATTCCTTCCTCCAGCTTTATATGCGAGGACTAATTTATTTCAAGCGTTCAATATTTACTCATTAATTAATTAATTAATTCATTCATTCATTCATTATTTCATTAATTTATTAATTTATTAATTCAATCATTCATTCATTCATTTATTCATTCATTCGTTCGTTCGTTCATTCGTTCGTTCGTTCAGTTCATTTGAGTTTTTTTTTCTTAGGTATACAATCGACAGTTTAGTAACTTTGTTTTATGGAATATTGCACTTTCACTTCATCGACCCATTCCACCTGAGGACCTGGGACATAGGCGTGAAGAGTGCTACTACTACCAGCCATCCAATAACTTGTCTGATCAATCGAGCGTTCACAAAATAGATTGACCAATTACTCACTCGTCGATCAATCATTCATTCATTCACTCGTTCATACACTCATTCATACACTTATTCATTCATACACTCATTCATTCATTCATTCATTTACTCACTCACTCACTCACTCACTCACTCACTCACTCACTCACTCACTCACTCACTCACTCACTCACTCACTCACTCACTCACTCACTCACTCACTCACTCACTCACTCACTCACTCACTCACTCACTCACTCACTCCTTTGACCATCACCTGGAAAGAAGTGACGTTGGTTAATTTATTAGCGTTGAGATGGTGGGGGGCATAAAGGCAGGCAGAACCATGCTGCAAAGTATTTTTCCAGCATTGCTAGCAGCCAATAAACAAAGTGACCAGCACATCCTACTATATTTTTCCACGCAACTTTTTCTATTCTTTTTTTCAACCTGACTTTTTTTAAATTTTTCTTTTATTCTTAAAATACTTTTTTAATTTCGAAAAAATAATTAGATGTGCCCTCGCGTTTATTTAAAAATTTTGTGAAATACGATTCTTCTCATTAATTTTTTCGAAATTTGTAAACGTATGTATGTGCATAAGTGTCTGTCAGTCTGTGTGTTTGTCTGCCTGTCTATCTGTCTGTTTGTCTGTCTGTCTGTTGTCTGTCTGTCTCTCCAGATAATGTACTGGTGCTTCCGTGTTATTTTACGTTGCTGCTCTAGAGCCATAATTTGTTTCTACCATCATTAAGTTGGATTTGTTTGCTTCTTAATGCGTCAATTGAATTCTGTCATAATTTTTTTAAAAGCTTGCACCAATCAATGCTTGCAACCATTATTTTAATTCTTTCACCACCTAATGTTACAACGGCAGTATCAACATTTATAACATGAAATAACAAATAACATCACAATACAAATAATATATATATATATATATATATATATATATATATATATATATAATAGGCAAAAATTTACAATATGCCTGGTCTTGCTATTGCTATGACTGGGTTCGAATACAAAGAGATCCCCGCCTATCATATGCAATGTGTATGATGTGGTTTGCACGCGTATTCATATACGCTGTGTGTGTTTGTCGTTGAAACCTCTGAAGCAAACGCAAAAGAGAGAGAGAAACCTTTAACTTTTAATAATGGTAACTTTTCGTTGTGATGTTGTAAACACTCACAGAAGAAAAAATTCAAATACTTCCAAAATCTAATTTTCTGCGAAAATTAAATGAAACTTTGAAAAAATTTTTTGCAAAATGTTTGAAAAAAATGACCAGAAAATTTATTTTCAAAGAATTTTGAAAATTATATTATTTTCAAGACCACCCACAGAGCATAATGCAAACGACAGCATAAAAAACAACAACTACAACAAAAACATAAGACATTATTTCTAATACATCTATTACGTCAACAACAACAGCAACAACACCATCATAAACAACAAAATACGTCGCCTCTAATACATCAACAACAACCGCAACAAAATTATCAACAACAACATCTTTGTAAAGGTCATAAAAAAAAGTTTAACAACATTAACAACATCAACAACAACAAAAGCACCAACAAAAATACCAACGACATATACGCAACATCATCGTATAAGTCATTAAAATAACGTTGGCAACAACCCGAACATCGTCAACAGCAACAACAATATCATCAACAAAACAACAAAAACCCCAACATACATAATCAAAAGAAACACTAACATAAACATATGCATCAGAAACACATCATCATATAAGCCAACATATATATATATATATATATATATATATATATATAACAACAACAACGGCAAAGTGATCAACAACAAAAGCAACAAAAACATCAACAACCACCAAATTTTTCAACAAAAGAAAATAAAGTTTACAAGAATTAATGAGACATGATCAGCAATATCAACAACCACATTAACATCAACAAAAACAGCAACAAACTGCTCAACAAAACAAAACAAAATTTTCAACAGAACATCACCAGAAACAAAAAAAAACATAGACAACAACATCAAAACACCAACAAAATTTTTAACAAAATATCAACAACAACGTCAACATTAATATCAACAAAAAACAATAAAACAACAACAAAATCTTCAATAAAACTATAAAAAAACCGCATTAACATCAACATAAAAAACCACCACCAACATCAATAATAAAATTTTCAACCAAAACATCAACATAATCCTCAACAAAACACCAACACAGGCGTCATGAAGAACACAACAACATCAACACATCATCTCGTGAGCTATCAAAATAACACTAATAACAACACCAACATCGTTGTCATCATCAACAACAACAACAACATTTTCAACAAAACAACATCAACATGAACAACAAAATCCTCAACAAAACATCAACAAGAACATCAACAACAACAACAACACATCTTCACGTGAGCTATCAACTATCACAGCCAGGACAAAAAAATCAATGAAAAAAAGAATAATTTCAAACATAATAAAAATAATAAATAAATAATGAAAAAAATAAAAACAAAACCATTCAAAATATAAAATAAAAAATGCAAAACGTTTCGTAAAAAAACTATTGCAAAAAAGTTTTTTTTTCAGAAAAAAAAATCAAACTCTATCAACATTAACGGAAGGCAAATGCAAAAACTATTTATTTTATTATTGTTATTTATTATTACTATTATTATTATTATTAGTAGTAGTAGTAGAAGAAGTAGTAGTAGTAGTAGTAGCAGTGGTATTATTAATTGTAGTTGTAAGAGTTGTTGTTGTTGTATTGGCATTAGCAGTGGTAGAAGTAGTAGCAGAAGTATTAGTAGCAGCAGCAATAGTAGTAGTAGTGGTAGTAGTGGTAATAAGAGTAGTAATAGTGGCTGTTGTTGTTGTTGTTGATGATGATGATGTTTTAGTATTAGTAGTAAAAGTAATAGCAGAAGAAGTAATAAGTTCTTGTTGCAGTAGATAGGTAGTAGTAGTAGTAGTAGTAGAAGTAGTAGTAGTAGTAGCAGTAGGTAGTAGTAGTAGCAGTAGGTAGTAGTAATAGTAATAATAGTGTTGAAGTGGTAGTAGCAAACTGATTAACATTATCATCATCAACATCAACAACAACAACAACATCAAATACTTTTACAACAACAAAAATAATAATAACATCAAAAACATTTGAAACAAAAAGAATAATAATAATTAAGACGTTCGCGCTTGAACGCATCAACGAACTAATGCAAACATGTAACAATAGCAATAACAATAAACAACCACATTATAGATAGATTGATAACAATAACAACAACAGTAATAACAAAAACACCCACAAAAATTATTATAACAACAAAAATAACAATAGAATTAAGAGCCTTAATGTTATTAATGATGGCGATTATAAAATAGAATAATTTTTGACGGAAAAGAGCTGAAAAATAATGCAAAAATATCAGTAACATTAAGTTCATTAAATGAATAATAGTAATAAATTTATTATTATTATTATTATTATTATTATTATTGTTGTTGTTGTTGTTAATTAGAGTTTTACGACTTTGAGATGACCAGCGTTATAATTGTTACTAGGCTTTTAATCATCGTTCTAACCAATTGATAATAATGATAATAATAATAACAATGTTATTATTACTCATATTATTATTATTATTTGTTGTAGTAGTTGTAGTAGTAGTTGTAGTAATAGTAGTAGTAGTAGTTGCTGTTGTTATTGTTGTTGTAATAGTAGTAGTAGTAGTAGTAGTAGTAGTAGTAGTAGTAGTAGTAGTAGTAGAAGTAGTAGTAGTAGTAGTAGTAGTAGTAGTAGTAGTAGTAGTAGTAGTAGTAGTAGTAGTAGTAAGAGTAATAGTAGCAACAATAATAATAATTATTATTTTATAATTATAATTATAACAATAAAAGCAATAAAAATAATAATAACAATAATATTTTACCACAAATATTGTAGAAAAAAATTAAAAAAATTGATAAAATTAAATTTAATGAAACGTTGTTTGCATGTGTTTGTCTTTGTGTGTGTGTGTGTTTGTGTGCGCATCACCAATTGTGTTTGTGTTGTTTGTTCATGTGAGCGTTTGTATGTGTGTGTATATCTGTACGTGAGAGTGTGTTTTTCTGTAGATCTGTGTATTTCTAAGTGTATTTATATCTGAGAATATATGTATGCGTGTATGCGTGTGTGTGTGTGTCTGTATATGTTTGTGTGTTAATGTGTTTGTGTGATCTTTGTGTGTGTGTGTGTGTGTGTGTGCACCTATCTCTGTGCGTGTAACTATTTGTGTGCGCTTCAGTCTGTCTGTCTCTGTCTGTCTGTCTGCCCATATTTATTTTTAGCAAATACAACTCGAAGTCATTTGTTATTAAGACTTAACAAGTTAAAAAAAATTGTTTGCAGTAATGCCAATTTTAACATTGAACTAATACATTGATGATAAGAAGGTTCTTGGAGAAAAATATGCGACAAACGATGTTATAACGAAGGATAATGAAGCCAGCATTAAATGGATGATATCCACAGAGCTTGTGATAAAAAGCGATAAGGGTGGTAAAACTTCCTAATATCATCATTTCATTTTCATTCGCTCATTCATTCAGAGTTAACCAACAATCTAACATTTCATCGACAAGTTTTTATACATTAATGGAAACACGCAGTAGCGTTTTATTTAAACACACAAAATCGCTACAAATTGACAACAAATCAACAATCAGACGAAAAAAAAATGAATATCGAACATGTTGACAACAAACCGACGAAATGAAATAGAAGGCAAATAAACTCGCACACGGTCAGAAACACATTTAGAAACTTTAAAACAATATAAAGAGGCACAAAACGCATAGAAGATTATGGTAATGATTTTCAAATCATCTAAATATGCTGTCGTTAATGTCGGCATAAAGGAGATATAGGGACTACTTATATTTTCCCGATACAAAAAAGTTTTGCATAGGCCGTTTTTTTGTTTGTATGACGTTTGTTTGTTTGTTTGTTTGTATGATGTTTGTATGTTTGCATGATGTGTGTATGTTTGTATGTTATTTGTATGTATGATGTTTTTATGATATTTGTATATTTGTATGATGTTTGTACGTTTGATTGTCATTTGTATTTTTGTATCATGTTTGTATGTATGATGTTTGTATGATATTTGTATGTTTATATGTAGGTTTGTATGTATAATGTTCGATCAAATACATACGTGTTAGCACCTTATTTGCATGAAAAAATACTACTGTATGGGTGGGTAGAAAAAATACCTCCACGTTAATATTACATTTGCATAGAGATAAAAACAGAGACTTCAACACAAACATATACAAAGCAAACTTCTTTTTGAGATTTTTCCAAACACATGTGAACTGCTACACATAAAAAAATTTTGTAATATACAAACATACTTAAACGTTCAGAGAAGATATTTATGCTTCATACAGTACGAGAGGTCAGAGTCAGTCGTCTTTTATAAGTTCATTAATACATGAGTATGTCTGTATATCGGTATGTATGTGTGTGAGTTTGTATGTATAAGTGTATATTTGTGTGTATGTACATTAGCTTATGTATGTACGTACATGTATGTGTATTGCATTTGATGATTTGTAGATTTGTATACCGCCTCTTGTGTGTGTGTGTGTGTGTGGTGAGTGTGTGTGGTGTGTGTGTGTGTGCACGTATTTATGCTATTGGATTATTTTCATTTCTCATTCATTGGAAAATAAATTCCATTGACAGTTAATCATAATTTTCAAAGCTGAAACTAAACTCCATCGGACGTGAAGGCTGTGCTGTTAAAAAAGCAACAAAAATCAACAACAAGTAGATTAGATTTAACGGTGTCAAACAAAGCAAGCAAAATAAGCACACAGACAGACATAATTAGCCAGATATATGTGTATGTGCATATATGCTTGCGTGTAGGTCTTCCCACGTACATAGTGACATCAGTCTGTACGTGATGATAAAATGTTACAGCAAATTATTCTTATCATTGAAAAAAACAAAGAAAAAACAAAACGAAATAAAAAAATTAATTAACCACAAAATAATAGAAGGTACATAATAGTGGCAAGCCATCAAAATTAGTGGGGAAATGTAGAACAAAGTTGTATTGATGTCTCTTATGTGTATCAATTTGTGTGGGACAACAAAAAGATACGCTTTTGTGCCTGCCTAGGTGTCTGAGTGGCTGGCTGGTTGGCTGGCTGACTGGCTGGCTGGCTGGCTGACTGGCTGGCGGGGTTAGGTTGGTTTATGAGAGCTCTCGCCTAATTCTATTTATTTATGTCGTGTTTTTTCCTATGTGTTAATCTGGTTGTGATTTTTTTTGTTTTTAAGATTTGTAATTGTCTTCACTGTGCTCAATAGTTTTTTATGTTACTAAAAACGATTTGTGTTATCTTGCTTAATCATGGTTTTCCCCCGTCTGTTAATCAATTAAAATGATTTTTGAAAAATGGTTTTTAAATTAATTTTTTCAAATTTTTGTTCTTTATTTTTTATCGATCGATCAATCATTCACTTTTTTACGTACATTCATATGCAGACGCGCACACACGCACACACGCACACACATACACACATGTTCCATGTTCATTCGTCTGAAACATACATTCCGTTTAAATAGACATGCTACGTACGGCATATATGCACACACACACAAACATACACACACATACACCCATACATAACAGACATACACGCATACATACAGACACGTACAAACATACATAAACAAACACAAGCATACACACATACATAGAAAAATGTATAAACAATGATTACAGAGCGTATAACCGGATTTGATTGATGGAGAGAATTATCATTAGGAAAATTGAAAAGAATTACGTACGATCATACTTCGTAATCTTACAAAGTAGTCAAAACTGCTCAAACATGTTTGAGTATTTGAAACAAACCTTTTATTGTTGAAGCAAACAGGTAAATTTAAATGTTTGTTTAAATGAAATATTGCAGATTAATATTAGAAATGTGCGTGTGTGTGTATGTATTTGTGTAAGTGTGATTGTATAAAGCATACGTGTATGTGTTTGTGAGTGAGTATATATGTGCGTGTATGCGTATATATGTGCGTGTATGTGTATATATGTGCGTGTATGCGTATATATGTGCATGTATGTGTATATATGTGCATGTATGTGTATAAGTGTATGTATGTGTGTGCGTGCGTACGTGTATTTGGGTTGGGTTTGGCTCGTGTAAACATTTTTAACGTTGATAGCGATGTTGTATTTGGTCTGCTTGACGGATTTCAATTATTTTGATTGAGTATTTCTACTACTACCACTACTACTACTGCTGCTGCTGCTGCTACTGCTACTACTACTACCAGTACAACTATATAACAACAGTGGAGTACAGTATAACAACAGTACTAATGCTTTAAAAAACACTACTACTATTACTGCAACTACTACTATTACTGCAACTACTACTATTACTGCAACTACTAATACTGCAATTACTACTATTATTTATAATAATATTGCTACTTCAACTGCTACAACTTCAGCTGCTTCTATACCAATACAGATACATTATACTTTCTTACCAATACTTTATACTGATTCGTTTTCACTGCTATAGCACAATTACTAATTTAAAATGATATAATATTACCAATGCTGTCAGATTACTAAAATTGTTTAAACGACATTTGTTTTAATGGCTAGTACTATTATTAACAATACTTATATACTTTTATTTTCATACGTAACTCACTTTGTTCTGCTAATTCCGCATTTCTACATTTCATAATACTCTCTTTCAATTTCAATTTCACGTTCTACGTCTGTCAGATTCTGATTTTATTGACGAATAAAAAAATGTGTTTCTACATTGCAGCAGTGATACTATTTGTGCTTTAAACAGCTGTGCCTCTAACTATTTTTACTTTAAAACTTATTTCTGTTAAAAATATTTCAATCGCACGATCTTAAATTGACTACAACCTGTGCGTCACTGCCATCAAACACGTCATCGTCGTCATTATCAGCACCTAACACAAACGCCATCATCATTATCATGTTCGTCATGACGTCACGATAATTCACGATCGTCATGACGTCATCATCGTCGCCATCGTCTTGTCGTAACTATTATCACCGTCAAATATTTTAATAAAGAATTTCATTGAATTCACATCAAGTTTTAATGGCAATAAACATTTTTAATATAACATATTCCCGGAGCGAACAATATAAGGAGAGAGAGAGACAGAGAGAGAGAATGAGAGAGAGAGAAAGAGAGAGAGAAACAAGGAAAAAGAGAAAGAAGGAAGAATGAGATAGATAGACTGAAAACAATTTTAATGAAGTGGAAGAGTCAGAAAAAAATGGAAAGTTAAAACCAAAAAAATATTATATAAAACACACTAATAAAAAACAAATCGAACGTAATATTATATAATCTATAAAAATATTTATTAAAATCAAATAATTGAGTTATTCACATTTAATAGGCTTAGTATAAAAGCGTATCTCTTAATTTTTGAGAGGTTAGAACAGTATTGAATTAAATTTAAAACCGTCCATGTACTTCAGTAATGTTAAATTTGTCAATGGCACATTTGTTTTATAATTAGACTTTGTCCTTGTTGAAACTTCAATCTTCAGTCGACAGAACTTCTAAAATTAAATTTAGAAAAAAGTTATATAAATATTAATATTTAAAAAATATTATTATTGAAATTTAGCAAACGTTGACGAATCTTATGAAAAAGTTACTTGCAAATACGTGCATCGGATCTTTTTTCAATGTTCCTAGTGGAATTTTCAAACATTTTTCGCAAAAAATATTTCTTAATTTTTCGACTACTTTTACAATTGATTTATATTGAAGATTTGTCTATTTTAATCAATGAAATGATTTTTATTTTAATGAGCCAATATTTTTTATTTTAGAAAAATAAAAAAAATTTTTAAGTTTAAAAAAATGACATTTCACATGTCACAATTTCTGAAATTTTGTTAAATTGTTTTCTTCATGGATTTAAATGAAAGACTTGATTAACAATTGCAACCTTGTTCAATGCCACCGTTTTGTTAACATATTTTTTTATATAAATTTTACAAAAACTGAATGTAAGGACACAATTTTCAAAATTTTCATTGGAAGGAACATTCAGATATACAGCAGACAATCTCCGCAAAAACATTCCTAACGACAGTCAAACAAAGAAGAGCAAATCACTCCAAACAATCAAATAAAAGACAACCAATTTAATATAAAAAGACACTTGAAAACAAATTTAGAAAACGCTCGATTCTGCAATTGCAAGCAAATTAATTACACGTTTAAATGTAACTTTAAATGTAACACTTTCAAGCAGAAAACTTGCATCATAACTCTCAACCAACCAACAACAATGCCACATATACAGACTTTTTATTTGAATTGTTTTTTCTAAAATAAATAAAAATGTATTAAAAAATGAAAACTTCTGCAGATATGCGTAAAACAATTTTAAAACAACCTGCAAACAAATGAACATACTTTTGAGCAAACCAACGAAGAAACAAAAAACAAACAAACGAATGAACAAGCAAACGAACACGCAAACAGACGCTCAAAGGTGCATACAATTTGCAAAATAGGTTGGTTTGCAGTGGGCGTCATTTTTTTGTTGTGCCAGTTTATGGGCAAACATTGGAATCACTGTATTAGTTTGTGTTCATGCGAGGATGTGCTGTTGTGTGTGCGTGTTCAAGTTTATGTTCTTCTTTACGTTTATATCCACATTTGTGTATTAAAATGTACTTTTATGTGCTTATGAATTTTCGCATTTGCTTGGCTGCGTTTTGTTTTTGTACTGTATTTGGAGGTTAAGCGTTAAAATGTTTTTTTATGTTTTTGTTTTTGTCAACTTAAATTTGCAAATGCACTTTTGTGAGTATGTATATATGTATGTATGTATGTATGTATGTATGTATGTATGTATGTATGTATGTATGTATGTATGTATGTATGTATGTATGTATGTATGTATGTATGTATGTATGTATGTATGTATGTATGTATGTATGTATGTTAAAACCAAAACATGATGAGTGACACTGAACCGTCAAACATCAAGTAACAAATGGATTAACACTTTGATTTGTCGTTAATTGCACATGTCGGCATGTATGTATGTATGTATGTATGTATGTATGTATGTATGTATGTATGTATGTATGTATGTATGTATGTATGTGTGTAAATATGTGTGTATGTATGTATGGATGTATGTGTGTGCATGTGTAAATGTGTACGTGTGTGTGAGTGTATTTTTGCTTCAATCTAGCTGATTGCATCTTCATATACTTTCCACATCATATTTTTCATTTCCACCAAGTCCCAATTCATTACCCCGTGTCTAACACAATAGCGTTCTATATAACTTCCTTTTTCATTCGAAATTTTTTTAAATAACAAAATTTCCAATTATTTTATTGACGTCTTTCTTCATAGAAGGCGGATGGTATTGAGAACATTAAGATTGCTGACATTCACCTGAACCTCACCTCACTACAAAAAAAAATTTATCAACAGAATTACAACTGGGCACATGCTTGTGTGTGTGTTTGTCTGTGTGTGTTTGTCTGAGTGTGTGTTTTCATTTGAATGTGAACGTTTGTCTGCCTACATTTGTACGCATGCGTGTGTATGCACCTGAGAAAGCATGCTAGCGTGTCTGATTTACGGTCTCAGAAATTAAAATAGATTTTGTCTGCCATCCGACATTTCATGCTGAATTTAAAAGGCATCTATTAAATTGTTAACATTCTTTTAAGCTAACTTTTTAGCAGCAAAAAATAATGTGATAGCAAAAATAATTAATCTCTGTTAGAGGAAGTTTCGCGAAAGCAAACAACTCACGCTACAAAGGATGCAAACAGTGAAAATTAAAATTAAAATTACGATACGGAAAAAGATAAGAATCGTAAAATGGAGCATGAAACAGCTGAAAACACATTTGGGAGGGATGCAGAAGATAAAGTACAATAAAACAACAATAAAAACCGGCTGAGAAATGTTCGGCAATAAAAAATTTTCAGGAAAAGAAAATTGACGAAATAGAAAAAATTTCAACTAAAGCAACACTAACAAATGAAATTAAGATCCACAAACGAGCACTTAATCATTCAGGAACATACAAAACAAAATTAGAAACTAGCAAAATTGTAGCAAATATCAAAAAACGCATAGAATTTTTAATAAGCAGTGTACATTGTCGAGTGGAGAATAACTTTTGGTTACATCCAAACAAGAAAATAAAAAAAAAACATTAAATACCCAAAAATGAATGAACTAAACTAACTATTTGGTCCTTTCTACAGCCAGCATATAATCATGCAAATCACATCACGCACATGTGTGCAAGTCTACAAACATCGTCACACACACATACACAACACACACACACACACACATACACACACACACACTCATAACACAACACAAACATTTGAACATGAATTCTTTCACTTGGAGTTTTCATGAATTTAAAACTTAACTTCCCAATTTTCTTTAAGTTTCGTTTAAGATTTAAATTTAATTTATTTTTAAACAAATGTTTTTGTGTTTAATTTTTTTTTCATAAATTTAAACTGGTTGAAAAGTTTCATGAAAAATTAAAAAGGTATAATTAAAAGAGCGATAGAAGCCATAAACTCTCTCTCACTCAAACACCACCCACACGCACACACGCACACACACACACACACGCACGCACACACAACCCACGCATTCACACATTCATTCATCTGCAAATATTTTATTCATTATCTTTTATTTTAAAAAAGATATTCTTTAAATTTTTGATTGTGAAAAAAGTCTTATTTATTTCATTTCTAGCAAGTACTTATAAAAACAAATTTAATTGAAAATGTGAAAGTTAATAAATAGAAAGAAAGTTAATAGTTTTGCAGAGCTCCTTTTATAAATACCGGCCATTTTGTCCGGACAACTTGTTTACTGGTTCATTGTTAGACGATAGTTGTTATTTTAAACGTTTATTAGAAAATATTTCATTAAATTTTCATGGTTTCAAATCAGGATATGACGTTGTAAACCTTGACGCTCGACCGATGTTATAACTTCAATGATCTCTATATTTCCAACACCAGTGTTGTACCTTCCAACCATCCAACGATCGTCAAGTGTTCGTTATCCCGTACGTTCGAGATTTTTGATAAATGAACACAACTGCTTCAAACGCAAATTTGGTTGAATACAAACAGCAATAGAAACAATAAACTAGTCAGAGCAACTACATAAATCACATTCACGACTTCGCTTTCCCTACTGTCAACTTGACAACGCAGGACTCATATAAGGCCTAGATTTTTAGCATAGATTCAATATTTCTTCACAATCCTCTAATCCAAAAATTACAAACGTAGCAAAGACACCAATAATTACGATAAGAAACAATGCAGCGCGATTTGATCATTTTAGTGGTTATAACAATATATTCACCTATATGAGAACATTCAGATGCACTATTGCGGCCACTGTTGTTCTCTCATAAGTAGCACATTTTATAAACAACATCCTTTATAGGTTATAAATTATTAAGAAAAATACCGTTTGCAATTGTTAAAACCAAGAAAAAATATAATTATGTAATCCGTAAAAGAGAAATATAATTGGGCAAACAATTGCACGGCTTGTATGCTAAGACGACAATGTGTCGGTTTTTTCGAGTCGTTCAAGATTTGCGTACAACATTTTTGTATGTTTTTATAATTTATAAACTTTTTTATCAATAATATTTTATAAGTCATCAGAAAAATAAACTTCTATTTATTTCGACCAAATTTTCATCATTACAACTTTGTAACATGACACAACTAGGATGCAAAAGTTTTGCAAAATGGCAAGAATTTTCAAAAATAAATTTAATATGTTGACATTAATACAAGATTACTCTTAAATTCCTTTTTTTAATAAGATTAAAAAATTACTTAGATGATTCAATTAAGAACTGGAAAGCAAAAATAACATTATCGTCCGACGAAACATCACTAATGAAATTTACATTAATTTTAATTGCAATGGTCTTGCCTCAGTACTGAATACTTTTCTCCCCGCAAGCCAACGTACGTACATTTGAAGCAATCTGGAGCTGTCACTGCCTGGAGCTGCCTGTCTTCGTTCCTCAAACTTTCATCATCACTTCTCCAGAAACTAATAAGTTCTATTTTCTGTTATCGTAACATTTTTGGCGATGATAATTACACTATTTGTGTTAATACTTATAAAATTTAAAAATAATATTTTGATAAAAAAATTTTTAAAAATATATAAAAATGTGAATTATGAAAAATATATTCGTTGAAATTTGTTTCTAAAAAGTACTAAAAGCCTTATAATTAAAAAAAAAGTTTCTACTCTGGATTATTTGTACCTGCCTACATTAGTGATGAACTTTAAAAATGTCTGCAAGTAAAATGTTACTAAAACAAACCAATGCAGATGTATTCCCATGTATGAACAGTGTTATGTGCTAATGCTGCTTCAAACCTCCATCACAAAAAGCCCCTATATTTAATAGTGAATTTAATTAGCGAGAAAGTTGATAATAGTTAAAAAACACAGTTTTTTTGAACCTATAATTTAAAAAATATTTTTCAAATTTTTACATTTAAAAATAATATCTAGATTGAAATAAATTAAAGTTAATGTTAAGATTATTTTAACATGCGCTCTTCATATTTCTATAATAATGGCTTTTAGAAATATTTTCAATAAATTTAACGGGAGAAGTATGAGCAAACAAAATCATTTCGTTTTCAACGTTAAAACTTTCCCCAAGATTTATAATTGAATTAGCGAGGTGCCAACCTTTTGTGTGTGTGTGTGTGCATGTGTGTGTGTGTGTATGTGTGTGTGTGTATGTTGGTGGTGTGTGTGTGTGCGTGTACGTGTGTGAATGTGTTTTGTAAAAACAAGTAAAATCAATAAATGCAAACAATGTCGTCATTGTGTTTATTTAACGGGCTGTGAATAAAAAAGAAATGGAGTGAAGTTAGTGAAACAGGCAGACGTGAACTCACCACACTTCGGTCAAGGTTTATTTTTTCATGTACTTTACTTGACATGATGTAAAACAAATTTTAGTAAAAACTCATTGTGGGTTTCCTGAATGTACAATGATCAGTAATTTGAAGATGCCAAATACTGCTTGGATTAATAAGCCAATGATCATATTATGAAAAGTGTTTCAATGTTTGATTGGATGATAATGTCTATAGCAAAGAAATTGATCAGATCTTTAGGTCGTTTCGATGGCTGATTTAATAAAATATTGACAGCAGTGAATGGGACGTCTAAAAAAGTAGGCAACAACCTAAAAAGATAACAAAGCAGCAGTCACAATGTCATCACGACGCGAGCAAAAATCTTCCGGTGCATTTAAAATTTAATCAAGTTCGAAAACAAGTCCATAATAATGTTATTGCCAGAATTCAATTTATATATATATACGCAAATGTTTTAGCTTTTGTGTGTGTGTTTGCGTGGGTTTTTTTTGAAAAAATATAGAAAACTTGTGCGAAAAAAATGTCATAAAAATACCAGAAGCGAAAAACCCTGTTTATGATTGGCTGAGCTCATCGACCAATCATCGATCGACAAGTTAGCTATAGGCAATCCGGGGAGGCTTCAAGATGGTTTTTTTTCTTTTTTTTTATTTTTTGTTGGCCATTTTGTATAATTTATAATGAACATTTGTTGGTAGTTAAGAGAGATGGTGTGATATGTTTAATGCTTCTGTAGCATATTCGTCCAGCGTCGATCGGTTGTAATTATGTCCTGTCCTTACATCCAAGTTTCTTGTGGCTGTGTTTCTATTCATGTTGGTGGTGTTTCGAGAGGTTTTTTATTACGTTGAATGGTGGGATTTAGTTTCTGGATAACTTTCTATTCTGTGATTTATGAGCTCTAATGAAGTCATCACCGCAAGCAGAGCTAACAAGTCCAGGCTATGTTAACAAGGTTTTTTAAACAGTTTGTCAAAAATCAAAAATTTTTTTTTAATTTGAGAAATATAGATAAAAGTCATAATATTTGTAACATTTTCTGTCAACACCAACAAACATCTGAATTCTTGAGGAACGTTTTCCAGAAATGCGCCGAATGAAGATTGCATGCAGGTTTATAAACAAATACATTAACAACAACCGCAAAAATGTTGAATTTCACACAGCGAATCATGAAAAGCCTAAAAATAGATGAACAATCCATCAGCCCGATGCAAAAACAAATTTGTTTTAAAATTCATCTGCTTCCAAACAAACATACAAACCTTATTAAAACAAATATTGAATAAAAATACACGCGAACAAATGAGCTTTGTGATCGCATACATCATGCACGCAAACAAACAAACAATTTTCAAACAAACAAACAAACAACCTGCCAACAATTCTACAAAACGTGTACATTAATATATTCAACACGAACACGAATGTGTACATGAAACATGTTCAATGTTTCACACAAACACACACACACACATACATACATAAACACACATACACACAGACATACATACATAAACACACATACACACACACATACATACATAAACACACATACACACACACATACATACATAAACACACATACACGCAGACAAACGTAATTATAAACAAAACAAGGCAAACAAATCATCAACACACGCAACTCCAACAACGTTTGTACGTCTTATTTTTTCCATCTATCAGCAAATTTGGCGCTCCTCGCGACGTGTATCCGGTTGTTTATCTTCGCTTCTATTTATCTTCTGACCGGAAGTTCAAACAAAACAAAACAAAACTTTTTCCCTTATATCGCTCTTAGATTCATCTTATATTCAATTAATTCCTCAGCATTTTTATTAATATTGCGTTAGTATTTATTGCTGCTATAAATTAAATATAAATTATAAGGTTCTTTTATGTTTCAATGGTTTTTGTTGGTGTTTGTGAAAAATTAATTTATCATGTTTTATTTTTATTGAAAATATTTAATTGAAAAAAAAAATTCTCTCCATCAGCCTTTTAAAAGTTTTCCTAACATTGCAACTGCAATAAAAATGTTGAAATATTGTATTCAGCTTTGTGAGGCACTTAACTTTAAATCGTTTTTAATGAGAATGAATGCGTTGACGTGGCCCCGTTTTTCCTAAACAAAGTTTTGGACGGACGTGCTGAAACTTAAAAAAGATTTTTAAAAAATCACTCAAGCATTTATCAACGACGACAACGAAGATGTGGTGATGATGTTGATGATGCTGATGATGACGAAATTGATTATAATGACATGTCTGCAGTCCCAAAACGAACATGAAAGCGTCCCATTCCCCAGTCATTCAATGCCAGCTCCATCATACATAAACATAAATTATAAACAATATCTTTTTCTCTCTTTTTTCTCTTTCACTCTCTCTTTCTCTCTCTTTCTTTTTCTCTCTCTCTCTATATATATATAGAGAGAGAGAGACAGAGAGAGAAAGAGAGAGAGAGAGAGACAGAGAGGTTAAGACTGTCGTAGAAACCAATAGTTGATAACATTCCACATCGAAAATGATAAAGGATTATCAAAAAAGCTTCTTCTGTATAAGATTAAAATGACTAAAATATAGTTAAAAACTTTGTGCTCTTAATAAATAACTTAAAAAACTATGATGATGAAATACGAAACTAAATATTAAAAAATTGAACCAGAAACACCAAAAAATGTTCAATGCTAAAAACGCAGTGATATTTCTTAACAATATATATATATATATATATAAAATATTTAATATAAATACAATATAAATGTGGAAACAACCATTTACATTTATATTTTTTAATATTAAGTCACAGCATTTCCAGCGCTGAAAATGCTGTGACTTCCCTAAACAACTGTATGTACATCTGACAGCCTGAATTCTAAATTTTAAATTTTTTAACGTTATATACATTCCCACTCACACGCAAACAGACTTTCAATTAATACCTTACATTATAATCGCGCCTACATACTCACACATATACAGACAGACAGAGAGATAGACAGACAGACTGACAGATAGTCATACAAATAAACAGACAGACAAACATTAAAGTGACTTTTTCGTAAATTTTTTTCAATGTATGTTTTCCCATTCCCAGCGTGCATTCAAACACGGTCCTAGTGTAACCACGCAAGAGATCGTAACAAAAAATAGTTTCGATTTTTCAGTACATGCCTTGATCTTGAAATGGCAACAATTTACAATCCTGTTTATATACATTTATTTTGAGTAATCTTTCAAAAATGTGATGTCTGTGATATAACTGTATAACTAGCAGTGATTAAAATTAACGATTTTGGAACGATATTGATGATAAAGTTGATGACGTGACTAGCAATTGGAGTGATCATGATGATAATGAAAAGATGATGATGATGAAGATGATGATGACAACGACGACTTCGTTAATGTACGCTTGCAAGAGATTTTGTTAGCTGAGAAGTTAATACGTGGTCTTCCTAAATAGCTAATAATACCTGATTATCACTGATATTATGATTCTCTTGTATGATTTTTATTCTTTTTAAATATACTTGCTTGACAAAGTTAGAAAATTTTTAAATTTTCGGCTCAACTTTAGAAATGTTAACACTGATGTCTGAGTATATTTTTTACGCAGACCACTGAAGAACGTTGGCCCGAATCGAACAAGCCATTAATGAACAGCGATAAAAGCAAAATTATAGATCGCATCAGTCGATGTTCAGTAGAAGCACCATTCAACATTTTATCATCTTCAACACTGATCAACACAACATTCAACATTTTATCATTTTCAACACTGATCAACACAACATTCAACATTTTATCTCAATCCGTGGTTTCTAACCATATTAAATTATTTTCATATTCACGTAACTCATATATCTACTGCAGAAAAATAAAAGATTTTCAAGTTTGTGTTTATTACAACTTTTAATAAGTTAACTTTTTGTCAACAAATATGAAATCAATAAAAAATTAATGTTAAACTTACGTACGTTAAACGTTCTTAGTAATTTTTGTCCAAATTTCTGATGAAACCACAGCCAATTCATTTTTGACTAAACGTTTTCTTGTCTGTAATTTTTTTAATTTAAGAATGTGAAAATGAAAAACAGCGAAACCCATGAGAAGATGGCAGCATTCAGTTGCAAATATCACAGCACATCAAACTTCGTCCATCGGTTGACTTTTGAAAAAAATTGTTTAGGTGTAGGAGAATCTGTTCTTAACTCTCCTTAGATCTTAAAATGAATTATTAAAAGAGCACCGGTTGTAATAGAAATATCATTTTAGTGGTTTGTCAAACAGGTATTGATAAAAAATTTTATTTTTTCAACAAAAGATAACTTTGATGTAAATTTAGCTTAAACTTTATGTGTGTGTGTGTGACTGTGTGTGATAGAAAAACGCATACATATGCGTAATCTCTGCGCAAGCCCCTGTTGATACATGCAGGCGTGAACGCAGCTGCTCTGAGAGGATATTTGATAGGTCAGATTGCTCACTCAACTTTAAAAACGTTCTCACAAATAATCACAAACTAATTCCATTCAACCGCAAGATAAATTGTACAATAAATGTTTCTTAAATTAGGCGATAGTGCCCCCTTTGAGAGGCTTTGACAGAATTTGTGAACTTTAAAAATTTTATGTTTATATTGACCTTATTTTTGGAATACATCAACTTACTAAGGGGCTAATTTTTATTACATTTCTTTTAAATGCAAAGTTTTAAAGCAGCGTAGAAACTTGAAAAATTTTAATATTTTTTTCCTAAGAGTGGGCAATGGAAAAAGTAAGTTTGAGAACCACTGCAATGACTTGTTTTCATTGAAAGAAACACCGTTATTTGTAACAGTTTCTTACAGATAACCTGCATTAACCAGC